ATCACTTTACTTACAAGTTGTACTGTCTTGACGTTTCATGATGGATATTTTCTTGTTGGTGATAACTCCCAAATGGACCACCATGGTCCAATACTCCAGAACTACGCATATTCCAACTAGGGGCAGAGTCATAACTTGTAAAATTCATATTCGGACGGTACCCCCTATGAAAAATATGAGTGTTAATACAAATCCAATTAAAACATAAATTAAACATCGCTAAAGCGTAGTAAAATTGAAGTTTACTAGTCGTCTTGTTGATTATCTAAAGTTGAAAAATTATTTTGTGGCTGCTCATTCGCCGGTGGTGACAAGTTTAAATCAAGGCAAGCTCTTTCATCACCAATCTGTCNATTATTGGGAACGTCTTCCACCTTGACATACATTTCCAATAATTTTATTACAATAAATTTCCTATATTCATCCGGAATCAGCAAAAAATCTCTAAGAGTTTCATCATCCTCAATGTTAAACTCAGAATAATAAGCAAACCCCTGCGGAGTCACTGAATACGAAAATCTACTGGTTATTTTAAGGTTAACCGAACTCCTCCTCTCATTCATTTTTTTACGTAACAACGATATCAATTTATCGTACTCCATAGTAAGCGACAATTTAACATGACATTGTGGAGGTGAGCTATACCTCACAGAGTTATTCTCCAACACAACCTCACCCCCACAATATAGTGAAACCCTTATTTTTGCCACTTCAGACATTGTAAAAAAATAATTGATAAGAAGAAGAGAGAAGTATGAACGTAAGTTTGAAATAAAGTATCGAATGAATTTTTATAAAATTGAAACGCCTTTAAATAAGGCAAGTCCGACGTTGGGGTGTAGAATTTTTCTATGTAAAACGCAGTACAATACTACGTTTTATGTATTGAATTATTGTTATGTCAGTTCATTATTGGTGGGGGCAAAAACCAGAGTACAACGCAATTATTTAATTTAAAACGCATTATTATACTGCGTTTTACAAATGTATCTTAGTAAAACGCAGTATAGTACTGCGAATTACAAAAAAAATAATTTTTTAAGTAAAACGCAGTACTATACTGCGTTTTACTCATTTATGTAACTTTTTTTTTAAAGTAGTACAAAAGTGTTTTTTGTTTAAAAAATGATTAAAAAGGTTTCGGACTCTAAATACTAGAGTCTACGGAAACCCATAACCCCAAACATTTTTTGGTTCAAGACCCTGGATGCAACAAGAGCTTTTTTGATGCAACTTTTGCCATTTCAACATATTTGTGAACTCTGCAAGTAGAAAATACTGCAATCCAGATCAAATAATAACTGGCTCTAAGGGCATACATCCAATAAATTTACAAGTCTCGTCCAATCAACCAGCTCTCTAAATTATCCTATTCCTCATCAAACCACTAAACGAAGTAGTGCATGACGCTGCACTCCTCCAACATTTTCTCAAACAACACCAATGCCTTACTTGCGCGCCCAATTTAACAGCACTCAAGTATCAAAACGTTCCGTACACACACATCTTCAACTTTGTTTCTCTCAGGATTTTCAACAAACACTTGCAATGCAAAGTCCGTCAACCCAATCTGCACCCATATATCAACCAAACAAACCCTCACAAATATATATGTAACGCTCTTATTCGCCAGGTTCACAATCTCAAACTTCTGTTTCGGAGGTACGCTCAAGGCTGGTGAAATTGACAGAGTGGATACAAGAACAGAATATGAGCAAATGTGTTTGAATATACTTGTGTACTGAAATTAATCAAATGTGTCAAATTCAAAAGAGAAGAGTTTTAGATGGGAAACCTGACCAACACTTGCCTGAGAGTGCATAGATTAGAGTTAGGTTATTTCCCATTTTCTTATGTTTTACTTTCTTCGCCATAGAGTCCATAATCATAAGCACTTCAACGAAAAGCAACCTCTTCATCTGGCTTTCTCCGGTCCCAAAACATTGACGTTGCAGATGCACTCATTTCAGATTCTGATCTCGAGTTCTTCATCATGCCCAGAATTTTCTCGCCGCCACCTTGAACTTCGACTCTCCGTTAGTCTTCTTCTGCCATGACTGTTGATTCCGATGGTGGAAGGATGGACGCTCTCATGCCATTTGTAATAATGCTAACCTCAAGCATCATCAGTGATGATTCATCACATAAGCAAAATATAAATAGCAAACTAAGTCACGGCTATAACCCTTTGTAATAAGGAGTTTGATAGTGATTTAACAGAAATTTAGATGAAAAATAAGGAAAATAAGAGAGAGAGAGAGAGAGAGAGAGAGAGAGAGAGAGAGAGAGAATGAGAGATAGAACGGATGCGAAATAGAGAGAGGAGAAATCGGAAGGAGAATTGAGAAGAAAGACAGAGAGGAGAAGATTGAATTGAAAGAGGATGTGATTTTCTGTAAGTTCTTCACAGCCTTCGGTTCATGTTTTCACTATGTTCGTATTGAATACAGAGTGATATCGCGCCAATATGTAGCCCACGTGACTTTGAACGAAATCACGTACCTCTAACCAAATTTGGATCATGATATTTCAACAGATAATTGTAGGAGTTTCTGAAGAAAGAAAATGAGTACATGTCATGTGTTTCGTATATTTTTTGGTTTGTTGAAACCATTGTAATTTGTATTCTCTGACTCATGTGCTTTGCAAAATGTAGATTCATCCTTTCAGGTGGGAGTTCTTCTGTATACTGGTATGAACAGCGCTTACGCGCTAGGATATGCTGGTGCAGTCATGGTACCTTTGGGATGGATTGGAGGTGTGATTGGTCTGATGTTAGCAGCAGTGATATCATTATATGCTAATGCTCTAATTGCCAAGATCCATGAATATGGGGGAAAGAGGCATATCAGATATAGAGACCTTGCAGGATTCATGTATGGTACGAGAAAAATCACGAAAACATTATCAATAGATAGCCCAGCTCAGTATGAAATTTTGGTTTATTTGACTTAGTTAATTAATTGGAATGTCGGATGATGCAGCTCGGATAGCTTTTGTAGTTGTCTGGGGATTACAATATGCAAATTTTTTCTTGATAAATATAGGATTTATCATTTTGGGTGGACAGTCGTTAAAGGTAAGATGTTCTATATTATGAGGATTTGTCATATAAATCGAGGCACAGTAATAATTTTTGGTTGTTATCATCGTTGTTAAAGGTAAGAAAATATCCTTAACCTTTTTCCTTGCCTTACTATCTTTATGTAACTAATGTTAAATAGCTATATGAATATATATGTAATTAGTCCTAGTCCCATAGTTAATAGGAGTAGGTTATATATTATGTGTACAGTCAGACTTCTCTATAACAGCATCCCTATATAACAACACTTCACTATAAAAGTTAACCTTTTTCGGAACCAATTTTTATATTTTGTTATAATATATGTTCTCTATAACAGCACTTCGTCATAACATTCAAAAATATTCGGAACAAACGAGGCTATTATATAAAGGTTTGACTGTACTTATAAATAGGGTTCATTGTATTACAATTAACAATAATAATAGACTTTTCTCCGGTGCATTCTCACAACTAAGATACCCGTGAGAGCTCGCCACAGTAGTTTCAGAGTCCGGTCCCTCATTCCTACTAAATCTCCTTTTTCTATCCCAAAAGGGGGTGAAGTTGAGAAAAGAAGAGATGATGAATAAGAGGAGAAAGGGGAGGTTGCTAGAAAGCTATAGACCGCAACTTGAAGTATTTGTTAAGAGGAAATTGATCTTGAAATGTTACCTTGTTTGGTCAAGTGGTAGAAATGATTCTGAATGAAGGTATATGATTCACAGGCTTTCTATATTCTCTTTAGAGATGATGATGAGATGAAGTTGCCGTACTTCACAGCAATCGCTGGATTGGGATGTGTTCTTTTTGCCATAGCTGTACCGCATTTGTCAAGTTTAAGGGCTTGGTTGGCGGCTTCAACATTCTTCAGTCTAGTGTATATCACTATAACCTTTGTTTTATCTCTTAAAGACGGTATGCATGTCTCTCTCTCTCTCTCTTCCCCCCACCCCCACCCCCCCCAATGTGATCTGACTACATCAGAAGTGTGACATTAATTTATTGAAGTTTTATATATGCTCAATTCAAATATTAATGAAGGAACCAATGCTGTGAAGTTAACTATCACTGGGGTAATTTTTGCTAGTTATTGATATTCTTGGAGCCTCTTCTTGCCTGGTGTAATTTATCCGTGATATGAAAAGGCAAATACATAAAATGGAGAATGTTGTCTCACTAATTTGCTGTTGTCAGCTAATATATAAGAACAGAAGTTACTAGACCAGTTTGAACCTCTTTAGTTCTAGTAACAAAGATTAGCAACATGAATAAAATAAAATAATGTAACTGGAATCATGCCCTTTCCAGAGAATGTGATTTTTATTGGTGTCATCAGACGGTCTGAACTGAGTATTAAAATGAAATGCTAGAGGGAGCTTGTCTAATTATTGCACTCAGCAAAACAACTGCCTAAGCGTCTCCATTTCAACATTTTATCATATGCTATTAGACCTGCTTTTAACATCACCTATTTCTGTTATGCACCTGCTATTAACATCAGCTTTACTATATTCTGTCATAATAATTCTTCACATCCAACAATAAAGCCCCGGGGGTTTAGTACCATACTACCACTATACAGAATCGATACGACTAATAGAATTGGCAGTTAAGTTGCTCTCCGCACTACTGAAATACTGGGAAGGATATTTCGTATTTAGTAATGTGCTATTGAATTGACTTTAAGAAAAGCTTTTTTATTTTGGTTTCAATTCAAGACTAAACAAGTCCGAACTAATTGAATATCTGTGCCAGAAATTCCTTGAATCGGTTTGCCATTTCCATAAAGGATATATAGCTTTATGTGAAATGTCCATGTCCAGTATCATTTCAAACTCTTATCTAAGGAACTAGTACATAATTAACATGCATCCTTCTCTTCTTTCCTAAATTGCAGGAATCAATGCTCCACCTAGGGGCTATGGCATTCCAGAATCAAAACCAAGCAGAGCTTTTGCAATTATTGGTGCAACAGGAAGCCTTGTTTTTGCATTTAACACCGGAATGGTTCCAGAGATCCAGGTATCTATATAAGCTAGAAATATAGGAGCCTTATGAACAGAGTACCACTTCAGCAATGTATTTGTGTGGTGGACAATATCATTTTTAGCACTTTTTTTTACCATCATACGTCTCCGTGGATAAACTTAGATAATAAGAAATATATTCTTGTGATTAAATTGAAGGATATTTAGGTTATGACTACGAATAAGGCAATGAATCATTCTCCAGCCCTTGTATCTACTCTTTATTTCCTTTTGTTGAGTGTGCCTGCCCATTGTTGTACGATGTAAATCTTATCTTGTCTGACTTTTCACTTATTTCCTCTCAATCAATTTGTTTCCTTCTAGATTCTAACAGTATCCTCATATTTTTTGTTAAATCCTTTTTGTAACAGGCTACTCTTAGAGCACCTGTTGTCGACAACATGTTGAAAGCCCTATATTTACAGTTTACTTTAGGCTCTGTGCCTGTTTTTGCCGTTACTTTTGTGGGGTATTGGGCTTATGGATCAAGCTCATCATCCTATTTGCTCAACAATGTCAGTGGCCCAGTTTGGGTGAAGGCACTAGCCAACTTTGCTGCTTTCTTGCAATCCATCATATCTTTACATGCAAGTATATCCCCACTTTGATCTTACGCTATTCCGTCCTTTCTTGGTCTCAAAACAGAAAATTCAGCTCTGTTACTATGGTGGCTATATAATGGATTCAACTGAATCTGTTACTTTTGGCCTTAAACTATGTATTACGAAAAAATAATCATTTAAAATGTATACATACGATCATACTCATTATCATACTCATTTTGAACTCACTGACTCTAAAGGTTCCCCTTGTTTTGCATATTGTAGATATTTGCAAGTCCAACATATGAATTCCTGGATACCAAATATGGATTCAAAGGAAGTGCAGTGGATTTTCGGAACATGGTATTCAGAACTATAGTCAGAGTTGGTTATCTAGCAATTACTACGTTCTTGTCGGCTCTGTTACCTTTCCTTGGAGATTTCATGAGCCTCACTAGTGCTATCAGCACATTTCCACTCACATTTATTCTCCCTAACCACATGCACCTTGTTGCCATGAAAAAGCAGTTGTCTACTCTACAAAAGAACTGGCATTGGCTTAATATTGTCTTCTTTGGTTTCACATCTGCAACCGTTTTAGTAGCTGCCTTCAGGCTCATTGCAGTGGATTCAAAAACTTACAATATGTTTGCAGATTTGTAACTCTTTATGTGATACTTATATGATGAAAATGTTCTGTTCTTATTCGGGGACTTCAAGTATTTTTCTAGTAATGACAAACTTTTCAATTGAAACATGCGTTGGGTAAAAACAAGCAGTAAACTAAGCACTACAAGGTAGCCGCGGAAAATATCCAAGTCAAACTTCCCCAATTTATTTGAACCAAGAGAAGATAAACATACTCACGTACAAACATATCCAGGCAGCAAGTATATCAACCTAACGTCAAATATAGGCAAGTGAAATAATCAAACACACAAGACACCAAGACTTAACGTGAAGAGTAAGAACCAAGGTACCTCCAACCCATAAAGCTCCACAATATCAATCAACAAGAGTTACAAAAACTCTCAAATTGATGACACAGCAAGTGCCAAACCAAGAGCGCACCAAAGCAATTGAAGAAAAAGGAGAGAATTCACCAAATATGTGCTACTGTTCACGTCCCCAAAATCGAAAATACAAGCCTTCAAATCCAATCTTCACCATTGACATCCAAGAATTATATGTTAAGAATGCTCAATTTAAATTTGAGTACGATCCAATGGTTAACGAGTCAAAAAATGTCATTTGAAGTGGACTGCCTAAGCAGAAATTTTCTGGAGTGAAACAGCACAATTTTTTCTTCAAACCCTTCAAAACGACTACTCTCTTATTTTTCTCTCTTGTTATGCTCAGACCTAAATAGGTCTTATCTATACTCCTTAACAATAGTGGGCCTTAAGTCGAAAGTGGTCCAAGTCCAAAAGACACTATAAGCATTTAAATTTATAAAATAATTTGGACCATATTAAATTCAAGACCAGGCAAATATAGTGGCTACTAAATTGAGCTAATTATTTAAATTTCAATATGTATGTATTGGGCTAGTCCATTTAATTGGACTACAAATTAAATGATAAGTCCACTTCATTAGCCCAAGGTTCAAATGGTTATTAGCCCATCATAGAGCACAAACTCATGCCACGTGTCAGGTGATGTGTCAATCCAAGTCAAAAGAATGAGCCAACAAAATCATGCCACATGTCAAATGATGTGGCGATCCAAGATAAATAAATGAGCCAATGAAATCATGCAGTGTGTCAGGAAAAGGATGGCATACCAAGTCAAATCAACAACTAATAGAGTTATGCCAAGTGTGTAGATGGTATTGGTAAGTTCAAATAGACCAATCAAATCACAGAGCCATGCCACCCCTATAACTATAAATAGAGGCCTTCATAAAGCTAGAAGACACGATAATAAAGAACAAGAAGCAAGCAGAGAGCTCGTGAATCAAAGACTGCAATATTCTCTACAAGCTACGAGTTCAAGCACTCAAGCTACAAGTTCAAGTTCAAGAACGAAGGCAAATCAAATACCAAGGCGTTCAAGACCAAATTACTTGTTCGTGATCGAATCCAAATTCAAGAAAGAGATTCAAGATCAAGTTGTACAAGCCCTTGAATCAAAATCAAAATCAAGCTCATTAAGATATTTTACATTCTTGAAGAATCGGAGGAATACCATAGAGATTGTAACACTCATCATTTATTGAAATTAAATACTACATTTGTTATGTAATTTTCTAGTCTTAATTATGTATTTTTCTCGACGCGAAAATTTGTTGTTACAAATTTCTGGCACGTCCAATGGGACAATCTTTACCTCTCATCTCTTCAATTACCAAATTTTAAGAACACCGAAATGGCTCCTAGGAATATCAATTTCAAATCCACTACATCTAAGGCCACGGAATCCAAGTTTTCATCTGATGTTGAAAACTTGTTGGATGCTACTATGGAAAGTGTATGATCTGTCACTAGGAACAAAGCAAACTTATTGGGACAACAAGCATTTCAAATGTTGTCTGCATCAGTTCCTATCTTTGATTTTCGATCCTCAAAGGGGGAAATATCACTTTTGACTGAATTGGTAGAAGGAAAGAACATTGCTGAAATTGTTGAAAAGACATTAGCTCTACTTAGCCCATATATATCTAAGAATCTTATCATACAAGATGATTATGATGTCTTAATTACTGGATCTGCTCCAATCACTGTAAGGCCCCGGAAAATTTCGCTAAGTAATTTAGGATTTCGTGGTGCCATGTAGGCTGATTATAATATTTTACGTGCTATTAACATGATGAACATCAATTGGATTTGGTAAGTAAGTGTATAAGTCATATAATAAGTAATTTGGGGTCCAAGAAAAGGCCTAAGTCTAAGTCAAATTGGAAAATTACATAATAAACTAAAATTTCAAATGAGTTCGCACAAGTCCATATTTTGGACGAGCATATCTAAATATGTATGAGATTTTATGTGATGAACAACCTATCAAATGAAGGTATTTGAGTCTAGTTTATAGCTCTTCAAACGGTTCATCATTTGGACTTTCCTACATAAAGTTATGATCGAATTACCAAAGACTGGTTTTGCGATCAATTTCGCGATCGCAAAACGATTCTGCAGACCACATACGCATCGCATAGTGAAGCAGAGTCGGGCAAAAATTATGATGTCGCATATTGATTATGCTGTCGCATAATTGATTATGCTGTCGATTATGCTATCGCATAATGATTATGCTGCAAGTCTGCTGCCCACATATCGATTATGCTATAGCATAATTGCACCACATAATTGACTTCGGGGGTCATTTTTGGAAATTTTCATATCCGAACCCACTTTGATAAATAAGCTTTGGGACTTCATTTGGGGCTATTTTATCCTAAATCTAGAGAGAGAGGTGAGAGCATTTTAGAGAGAGAAGGAGGAAGCCTAACATTATAACCATTCAATCTTTCATCAATCTTCAAGAATCAAGGAAACCAATCACAAGATCTTCATCTAAGAGGTAAGGTTATATACACTAGACTTTAATTTTGAGTTTTGGATATAAGATGGGTTATTGAGGTATGATTCTTGGGTATAATAGTATTATGTATACATGTTGTGGGAAGATTTTTAAACACAAATAAGTAAAGATTGGGTTGGGAAATGAAGGAAATCTTGTAGAAGAGCTTTGAAATCAAGATGCACAACTAGTGTTTGATAAAATGCTCAACTGAGCTAAAACCACGAATATATCCCTAATTTGTGTTCAATTTTGTTATGTCTCAAAGTAGATTGGGATTGCTAGAATTTTCGGAACGTTGTAGTAACTTAAGGAAAGCTTAAACAAGGTATGATGGCTAAACTTTCTCTCTTAGAATCGAATTCCATAAATTTTTTCATAAGTTCAAGCATGGTGGCTCAAAGTTCATAAATCTTATATTCCGAGTTATTATCCATAAATATGACTATTCCGAAATGAGACTTATGAATATATATATATATATATGAGTTGCATATTAAAATGTTACGGCTTGAGTCGTGTTTCAAATAAAGGCTAGTATGCCAAATTATGGGATAAAACTTGATATGGTTGATATTCCTAATTGTTCTTATGTGTACCAAATGTATTTGATTGATTGTGTCTAGTTGTTGGTAATCTATAAAGATGTTTGAAATGAATTAAATGAATTTGGGAAATAGAGTGTGGCCAACGTGTCGAGAACTTGAGTTATAAATTGTGCCTGGTGATGCCTATGACATGAGAAAATGTGAACAGATTATGAAATGAGCCTTGACTTTACTTTCTGTAAATGAATTCAAAAATAAAGTGGCCTAAAGGCTTTGGACTCAATTTATGCCCATAAGTGGCGATTCGAGATAATGTTTTGCCTTATAAGTACATCCAATGTGATCCAAATTGTTACATACTCCCATGTTGAAATTGTATATTGTCGTGATTGGAAAAGAGTAATTTCAGAATAAGTGGTGTGATTGCTTGCTATGACTTTGATGTGTGTTTCTATTGTGGTTTGGTGTGTCCCCTCCTTTTGTAAAAATCCTTTGTGTTTAAAGTTCCATTGCTAATGAACTTGAGGTGTATGATTTCTGAAATATTCTATATAACTGTGATTCGTGTTTCCTGTCATGTATACTTGACATCTTGAATTGAATGGCTTGTTGTTGAAATTGATATTGATGTGAAATATATGAAAATAACTCGAATTATGAAATACGGTCAAGTGCCAAGTATGATGTCATGATTGTGGCCCCAAGTGCTGATAAATTAATATGTGTGATATAAACTTGAAAGGAGATGATTGATGGAAAAATGAAAACATCTTGGTAAGACGGCTTAGCCGATTGGACCGTGATTGGACACCATGCCGCACACATGGTGGTATTATGCTAATATTGAAACTGGAAAGTGACAATGAAATTGTAATTGAGGTACACGTCTCAAATAAGACAACCTAGCTAATCGGGTCGAGATCGGACTCCGTGCTAAGATTCACGGTGGAATATGTATATGTATATGTTAGCATAGAAATTGGGAGTTGGTTATGATGTGCATATTGTGAACAATGGTATTGTGAATAGTGGAATTGTGAATTGTGGTGAATGGGTATTAAATATCTTCTATCCAATAATAGTATTGTCTTCATATCCCGAGATTCATTTTTTTACCATATAAACTTTCATACACTGAAAAATTGTTATGTTTAACTTGGCCTTTGGATATCATTGATTGTTACTTGTTGTTTACATGATTGTCTTTCCTTATATTGACATTCTATTTTGAAAGAGGACTTTTAGCTATTCATACCAGTGCTATTCGACGGCGCTAACGTCCCTTTTGCCGGGGGTGCTACATCTTTAAATGTATGTGGGTGGTTCCATAGCAGGCAGTGTTGGTCACAACAAGTGGCACATCCTCTTTTCAGCCGACTTGGTGAGCCCCATGTCATTTCTGGTTCCTGTATTATTTATTTATCATGTACTTGTATTTTGAGGTATAGCTAAAGCCTTGTTGCCGGCATTTTTATATTATTCTTCAGTTGTATTTAGAGGCTCCATAGATAGGTTGTGGGCGGAGTTTGATAATGGGAAATTGAATTAGAAATATTGACATTTGGCAAAGATGTATAAAACTTGTAATATTTTGTAAATTATGAACGAAGTTGCTATTGGAAATGAAATGCAAGTCGTTAATGATATAT